AATTACCTTCGTCTTAAATCATAACAACAAGTTCGAGTAAATAAATTAGCCACACACACATTTCGTAACCTTTGCACATACATGACCTGTGCACATAGTATATGTGTGTGATGGGCCGTTAATCGGCACTGTTATATAACGAAGCCAGCTTTTAAATAATTTGCTGAATTAGATTACTTTCATATTCATTTATCAATCCACAGTTCACATTCATGATTTTCACATATTCACAGTCACTTATTCTTGACTTAACGAGTTTATTACGAACCAGAAAATTGACCGGCTCTTAGTTGGCCTGTTTGCTCAATTGGTAGAGCACTGCGCCGGTATCAAAGATGGTCATGGCTTCAACTCCCGTTCAAGCTTTAATATATATATATATGCTTTATTTTGACATTGTTCAGAGTTTATTTCTGTGAAGATAACTCATATTCATTTGTTACTACGTAGCTCACATTTACGTTTTTCATACATTCAAAGTCACTTAAATAAAAATTAACGATCATTAAAAGGTATAGAGATCTCTCGTTGTTGCAGTGTTGTTGGCTGGTAACAAAACAAAGCTTAGCTTCTGAAAATTAAATAAAGTTAAATAAATTGTGCGCATGATCTCTTAAATGACTAATTTTAGAAAAGCCAACTCCGTATACTTGTTTCTCACCGAGAATGACATCCCATACAGAGGCATCATTATCATCTAACATTCGCTCTATATTAATTATACTCGTACCAAAATTTAAGAAACGTGCTCGGATATTCATGTGAAGTACTGAGAAATAAGCACTTTTTTGATGCCGGCAGTAACGTAGTTCATCATCACCCCATGCATTTATAGACAAACCAAAAACTCTAATTAACGATGGTTAAGTTAAAACCAAATCCTTAAAATAGAGAACCACAGAAAACGTCACACTATTTTAATACTGATATACTAGCCTTACGGTAGTTATATAGAGAAGGACTAGAGAAAGCAGCGCTGCCTCTCACAGATTTGTTTCTTGCAGTATGTCTGTGAACTCGTCAAGATCGCTGTCATCATCAAATGTGGCCAGTGGTGCCTTTGGAGATTCTCGCCCTGAGGCTTCTGGGAAGTTGTCGTCCTTTTTGTCTTCTATTGGACAAAAGAAAAAATTGGAAACGTTGGTCTCTTTCTGCGATTCAACAAATTAAAACTTTGTTTTAGGAATAAATGAATAAAGAATGATTAACGTTTCCTTTTTCAGAGGTGACAGATAATGATCTAATTTATCTTTATCAATGATTAGCTGCTCGCGTTCTTCTGGTTTATCAACCGTGCCTTCTTCAGTTTTCTGTTTAGATTCCCCTGTGTATTCGTCGGATTTTTTCTCTTCTTTAACTTCAACCTGCTGCTTTCCAAGTTTCCCGAGATCCCCTTGTGGGTCTTCTTTTCTGTTTAAGTTCAACTTTCTGCAGTTTGCATTCGTTAGGGTCTACCTTGGTTTTCTTTGATCAATCTCAACGTGAAACTGATCACTTTGTTCATGATCTCACTTTTGTACTTCTTGATCAGGTTTACCTTCCTTTTCTCTAGCCTCTTGGTGATCTTCTTTTGGTTCGTCGTTTCCTTCAGTTTCACCTCCCTTGTGTACAGAGGGTTCAGAGTGTTCACCACTTAGTTCTGCGTGTTTCTGAGGCTCTCCCTGCTCTTTTTCCGACTCTCCGTCATTGTAACCGCTTTCCACGTCTTCCTGGTTTCGGACTGTGGAAAAAAAGGCGAAACAACATAGGATGGTGTCATAAGACAAGCAGATATAAACTAATTCCCTTGGTGTTATTCACATGATATCAGTTGTGTCCAGAGGATTTCATCACAGTGTTTTGATGAACTTGTTTATTGTTGTGTAACAAGGGACCGAAAGAGAGAGCAACAATTTCCATCGTCGACTTTCACAGAAAACTTAATGCAAGTCAGTGCGACGTTTGGATCTTACTGCAATCTGACTCAAACGGCCTTACTCTAGTTCTACAAATTTTCATGTAATTTATAATGGCGAAACTTTTGCGTACCTTCCTCAGTAACATTATTTTCCATGCCCAGATCCTGACCATAGGGGAAGCAGAAATGAAATTTGTTAACTCAAAGAGATGAATAAAAATGTGTACCTTACATTGATATGCATTGGGAAAACTTGATTAAAATCGTTTAAAGCGATAATATGCATAAACAAATATGTTTTAAAAATAACACAGTTTTTCTGCAATTCCTTCAACTGCCGTTTACCTGTAAGTATCTGTTTTTTTTGTCGTATCATCCACAGGTCCAAACATGATTAATTCAATCAGTATATTTGAGATAAAACAAGCTACATTTTTAAATGCGGGTTGATGCGCGTATTCATGAAGCAAAGACAAGCCGTTTGACTTTGAAGGGAAGACAAGAATTAGAATTATGAAGTGAAGCTGGCTATGAGTAAACAGGACACGAGACTTTTCTCCCTAAATATGTGTTCTCTATGTGTATAACCAATTTATGTAAAGTATGTATAGAACTTAATCTGCTAGAAGTTGCGACTGAAGTCTTTACCCTTACTTTTGTGCGAGGGGAAGTCAATGATCTATGCCTCTTGGTACATGTGTTTTACAGAGTATCGAGTTTCTCCGTAATGTCGGTGGTCGAAATGTTCTCTAGAAAGGTAAAGTCAACTTACGAACCAGAAAGTTCATAATTTTGGAGCTTATCTCGGTTTTAACGGCATGAGGTAACGTAGAGTTTGCCACTTCCCCCTGAACGGAAAGCTAGTGCATAGCAGAGTTACCTTCCAGCTTCTCTTAAAGATTCCCTGAAAGCTATGCGGTACTCGTTTTTACTTCGGGGTGGAGATAGGAAATTTGAGAGTTTTTAAAAGTGACAAGTTCCTGGACACCTCAAATCGAGATGGGAGCAGACGAAAATAATAGATATCACATTAAAGTACTACTCTTCTTTTTAATATGCTCGTAATACTCAAAGAGTTGACTGTGTCATGTATTCGGTATCGAATTCAAGAAGAATTTAAACCATATGGCCTCTTTCTTTGTTATTGTAAGAAATGTGGATGGAGTTTTTTTCATATGCACCTCATAAATCGACTATGCATTATCCGAAAGGAAGAGTTTATTTTGATTGGTTTGCACCTTTTCTGTGACCTAAAAGGTAGCCTTAACTTTCATTACAGTGCACAGTCAAAGCAAGCCATTTATACAGACGTGTTTGACAATAAGTGGCTCTTGAAGAGCAAAGAATACGGATAAGCGGCCAATAGTGCCTAAATGATCTTTCTTAGGCTTTATCAAAACACATTTGTTGATCATATTTTCAGTAACACGTTTTTCCTGATCCACTCATTCCACTCATATTTTATCGCTTTTACATTGATAATGTAGAGCGTTTAAAATTTTTTTTCCATAAGTAATATCAGTCATTGTAGAGTATAGGTGAAATTGCTTGATGTTCGGCTGAGAGACAATTGCTATCGAAAATTCTAATTTCATCACCACCACAAATAATTCAGCAGTCACTTGGCTTGCATATACTCATATTTTGATGACTTTCACATCAAATGACTTCACTCATTTCAGTTTAAATATAAAAACTAAAAAACCAAAAAGATTAAAATTACCTGACTGCCGATTATCTCACTTTATCCTCCACTATTTTGTTATGCCACAGTTGCATCAACCAACACAAAAAATAAATTTCATTCACGCATACATATATGAATCCCACACAGATGTTTGAAGCTGGTAAGTTCCAACGAGTAAGAACGATTTCATTAATTCATTCAGGCAACTTATGAATTTGCAAGTTAGTTTTTCTGCAGGTTTCTGAGTGTCTCAGTTCAAATTTCTGTTTGTAAAAACATCATATAGTAGGAAAAAAAAGAAGAAAACTTTGGAATTTAACTTTCCTCGAAAGAGAGTCCACACAGTGAAACTTTTCTTTTCATCTTTGCTTGGTGATCATACATACTTTTTCTATTTTCGGAAAGAATTTTTTATGCCTAATGATTTTCACGCTACATGCAACATATGCATCCAGCTTTGGAAATTCAAGGTGCGATTTCAATAAGCGTCTTAGTTTGTGTATTCACTGGTAGATTTAATTCAGAACATTATGTCAGAAAGACGCTTCAAGGATGTTCCCGTTTGGTTTGAACATAATGCTCGTTGAACAGGTTTCTGGTCGATATAATGCAGTGGAATCCTGCACACAAATGAGGATATAATTTTGAATAAAATAAAAAAAAAATTAGCAGAAACGCGTTTGTCATGGAATTATAACACTGCAGTCCAGATCAAGCGTTCCTGTCTCGAGTGGCGTCCAGGCCCTTTGTCTTGTTCGTCTTTCCACCCTGATGGTCATGCCACATCGTTACATAAAGAATAATACATGGGCGCGCGTAGATATGGGATTTCTCTTCCACTCGTTCGCTGCACTCACTCGTGAGCTATCGAGTTGAACACGAGAAGAATATTTCCATATCTATAAGCAACCATGTATTATTCTGTTTATCATATAGACACAATAGTTCTTTACTGACAAGAAAAGCCGACTTTATTGATGAATGAAAATAAAAGAATTGACAATCCCCGAATAAAAATCGCCAACGCGTTGGCGCTAAGGCTCAAGATGGAAAAATGCGTTTCGCTACTGTCCAGTTCATTTTAATGGTCTATGTTTCCTTTTCGGCTTACTCGAAAATTCAAGACGAATATCCTCTGCGTTGTCACTCTCTTTAGTTATCTTTAAGTGTTAACGCTCATTGTATACGCAAATTACGTTCAAACCAATATAACATATCTCGCCTATTCCTGTTCGAAACACAAGACTCTAAGTATCATACACCGGTATCAAGGCAGATGTGTCTCTGGGGCAAGACTTGTAAGCATGCAGTTTTCTTAGTGTTATGCTACTGTTTTGTCCACGGTGCTGTCGCGTTTACCATTCAACAAACATTGTACAACTTCATCACACTTATTTCAACGAAACCTTCACAGATGTTCGAAGCAGGTTGGACTGCCCGGCAGTACATCCATTGGTCTAGATAAGAAAAAAAATTATTTTGAAAGTTCATGCTAGAAAGGGGCCGGAAATATTGAGAAAAGCCATGATCAGTTTATTAGTTACAAGACTGAGCATTTTTTCTTGTTCCCAGCAGGGGCTGAAGGCGCACCAGCAAGTTCATCATCACTCAAGTTTCCCTTCTTACAGTTGTTAAAAAATCCTCTGAACACCTTCACTGAAGGACTCTGAGCATAACAGCGAAATCTCGAAGATAAAATTGACCTTGTAATCAGACTCTGAGTATTGTTGTCAGAATCATACAATTCAATCAGTTTGTGATCAAACCTCCTTCCATTGTGACGCTTTTCTTCTTTACAGAAAGCATGGATCTTCCCGTCAATGATTAAGAGCTTTGTGAAAGAACCAGGTCTAATTTTCAAAGTTTTGATGAAGCGCCATTCATTTGTTGTTTCATCGTACAATTCACACTGGCAGTTTTGTGACACCTGATGATATTTGCTGATATCCCCTCCAAAAATAACAATTTTTCCACTTGTTGCAGCCCCCGAGGCCCACTCCCTAGCTACTTGAATATTTGCTAGTTTCCTCCACTGGTTTTTGTCAAAATCATACCTGTCAACTTCATTAAGGTACTTGCGCTGGTCTCCATCCAACACAAAACCACTAACGAAGTAGATGAAGTTTCCTTGAGCCACAAGGCAAAAACCTTGTCTTAAATCCAGATAATCAAATGACGCAATGTCATGCCATGAGTTTGATTCTGGTTTGTATTTGGTAATGTAGGAGAGATGTTTGTTCTTGGGACAAAGAGGGTGTGCTCCACTTACTCGTCCACAGCAAAGAGGTTCGTGGGACAGAAAGCATGGCACTGAAAGCAGAGCATATATTTCGTCTCCATTCGCAACAAATATTTCTCGGACGTATCTGTTTTCGTGGGTCGATACCGGTGATGTCCAAGTGTTACAGTATGGGTTGTAGCCGACGGTAACTAGTTCCCAGGAATCTTGTGCAGTCGGTCTGACTTTCGTGCTGTACAATTTATCATGGCAAGGAAAAAGATCACGCAAAGTGCCAAATTCTCCACAACGAATCTTGCCTAGCGTAACCCAGTCATTCTCAACAGGAAAATAACACATTAATTTGTTCTTATCACTTATCACTATAGCAGAAGTCTCAAGAGACTTTCTGGGCTTGAAAGGGAGATTCTCAAACTTTTTACAGTCAACCATATTGATAGCCTCATTAACCAGTTCTAAACAGTCTCTGTTACTTTTCACCAAATCATGTGTTACTACATCATTGCATAGAAAGTCACGTGATATGTAAACCAATCGAACGTGACGAAATATCTCAGCGAAATATCTTTCTCGATTACCTCTATCAAATTCGATCCACGTCAGAACAAAGTTAAAAACATCTTCTTCGGCGTCAACGCAAAGCTCGTCACTTGAAAGCAAATTTGCAATTTCTGTGTGCGCCATACTCAAAACAACTTCACGTTTAGCATTGTAGATGGCGGGAAAGTTATTATGGATGAAATGCTTGGTTTTGGAAACAAGTTCGCCGCAGTGATATCCTTCAGCAAACCTTCAGCGAAGAGTTGAGATACAATTCGAAATATTCATTTCCGTTTTCTTTAGCAGAGCCCGCGCAGCAAATGTTTTCAGGTTCTCAAGGAATAAAAAATCTGCAATCACAACCAGGTTTCGGGCATCGTCTTCCTTTAAAATCTGAACCCCACCGGTGTAAATAAACTTTAGTGTGTTTCTCATTACAGACTCGGTGAACATCTCCAACCGAACTACTCCTTCTTTAGCCTCTTTCATGTCGCTATTCAGCAGCTTTTCAAAGAAAGGACTTGCTTTTGAAAGAATGTCTTTATGAGCTTCAAGCTCTCCATCTTCGACTATCAAGACAACATCACACGCCTGATCCAATGTTTCTTTTGGCATAAACATTGTATTATTAGTACTTTCTTGATTTAAACGTGCGCGTAGAAATACAAATATTCCCCAGAATGTAAAACAGTTTGCCACTTAAATATATTCACACCGAGCTCAGTATATGCTGACTAATTTTTACACTGCGGAATATTTGTGTCAGTAGCTTTCAGCTAATGAGAGAGGATTTTTTCAACAGCCCTTGTAAGACTTTTAATGACCTCTTTAGTATTTTGGAATCAACGTTCAATAACTGAAACGACCCGTCGATCGCCTTCCTTTGTTCAAAAAAAAGACTCAGTAACACAAATTAGTCATGTTATCGTGACAAAGAATTGGATGAGAAGGTCAGGCTTCCCACCAAATCCGTATAGGTTCCCTTTTCGAGAAATTTTACAAAATCTAAAACTACCAAACTGTGGTGGGGCTATTAAAGTTTTGTATTGTGACATACATGAATATCCTTCCACTTCTTTTAATGAATTCTACCACAAGTCATTAGTAGTATCAATATGGCCAAGACGATGTGTAGTATTTTAACCTAGATTGAATATATATATAAAAGTAACAACCTGAAATACTGAGCATTGGATTTAAATCGAATGATCGTGCTCATCCACAGCTTGATCAGTTGAGAAAAGCGGAAGATGCAGTTATACTGTCTGCCAATGCGGTTTTAAATAACTTCACTCTGGCGTTTTTTATGTTACGAATAGTGTTTAACGTGTTCTAAATTATGTTCGCAAAAACTTCGTCGTTGTTTTGTTGCTTCTGTATTTGATTCTTCGTGCTTCGAAGTATGTGTCTTCAGAAAGCTCGACCGCTATAGCGCATGTGATACATTAAGTGCCGCTCTCGCTGAGAGCAGTCCTCTTGGCCTCCCGTCGAAAAAAAAGTTTTACTTTACATTTTGTCCGTAAAGAGGGTTTAGGACACATGTTTCATAAATAGTTTGACTGTTCTTCAATCTTCCTCTTTTGCGTCGCCACAAGCCAATAATTATTTTTGGCTAAACCACCTGTGAACAGCGATCGAAAGTGGAAATTTCAAAGATTTTATCAAGCGCGCTGCAAATGCAATCATATAGCTCACGGCCAGTTCTCTCTTGCTACAAGTTACAAGATGTATTCAGTCAGTTCACCGACAAAATATGGAAACTTCACCGGAAATCTTATTCATATCAGCGTGATCAGGAGACTCTTCTCCTTGACCTTATTTCGCAAATTAAAAATTCACCAATTTGTAAGAAAGAATTCTCAAGATGCAGGCGTAAATCGGGCTAAAAAAGGATATCATTGCATTATTTTTTTTTACACCAAAGAGGTCACAGATTGCCCCTTGATTGTCTCAAACCCGAGGGTATCTCTCTAGCTTTCAACAACCAACATCTTGAATACAACGTAAATGATTGTGCATGCTCAGTTTGGGCTCGAGTCGAAGTCATTTGCATAATTCTAAAAGCATTATCATTACAATCATTTGATGATATACTACGAGCAATAAATATCATCATTTAAATCATTTGCGGATTTATTTTATGCAATTAATATCACCATTATCATCATTTGATGATTTATTGTGAGCAATTAATATCATTATAAAAATCATTTGAGGATTTATTTTAAGCGACTGTCACCATTATCATCATTCGATGATTCATTGTGAGCAATAAATATCGCCATTACAATCATTTGATGATTTGTTGCGACCATTAATATACAATTTATTCTTGAAGAATCATCAATAAAATCATATGATGATCCGTTGAGAGCGCAACTTGAGATACCAAGAGGTGTTTTTATTTTTCTTTCAGCCAAAAAATTATGTCGTTCATCTAATAAAAGAAACTCGACGAAGAATAGCCAAAAAAACCCTCATGGAAACAGATTAAGGCTTGTGATTTAAGCAGTACTGATTCGCTGCTCGCACTCGATCAACAACCGTCAACGATTTCTCAGGTGAACCTACGCCGCTAAAAAACCTTGAAGTCGGAATAGAGTCAACTGAGACTACATGGAACGCCTCAGGGTTTCTATTGGCGGGTGGATTTCCAGTTTTCGAAGAGTCGATATAACATGACAAGTGGTCACTCGAAGGCGTGAATCGACAACTTTGGCAACATATGCATCAATTTGTCATAAAACTTCAACATGCCTCTTCAACAAATGATTTATTCAAAACATTGACAAAAACCATGATTTCTTTAGACACCAAGGGAAAACAAATCAGTCTTGGAGATGGCTGCAAACTATGGCAGCTCGTCAAAATCGTCGAAAATAACGAGAACACTTCTTTTAAACCGCTATCTACAAATATTTCCGGGATCTGTTCGTTCCGAAAATACTCACTGAGGGAGTACAAGTTATAAGTCCGATACATGCATATCACAAATCACAGCTGCTCCATATCTAATGCAACCAATGTATTCAAGTCTGCTATCGCTCCTAGAGAATGAAGAAAGGAATAGTCGGAATGAATATATATGTTATTTATCTGCCATTTAGATTTCACAGGGACGATTAAGTGCGACAGATTTTTATTACAAAGTGCGACAAAACAGGGACGAGTTCGCTTAAAGCTTAATTTGACTACCCAAGGTAAATGACTTTCAAAATGGAGACATCAAAGATAAAAATTAAAAGGAACGTGCTTGGGGACAAAATTTCAACTGAATAAATCATCGAATCATTAAGGGACCTAGCAATTTTTCGCGAAACATGCAATAACTTGAAAATAAAATCTGATTAGTACGTCTTAATATTTGTTTGTTTCGTTGCAGAACAAGGGAGCATTACGACAACAATTCTCTTATGCGAAAGGCTTTGGTTTAAGTGGGCAGACGCCAGGTAACACGACGCGTTTGACAAAGAATCACAGTTCCTCGTTCAAGCAATGTAACGAGAGATCAAATGACCCCCGCTAAACATTACCTTCTATTCTGGCCATTTCATCTAAAGTTTTTGTAAGGTCTACTTCCTCGGCAGTTCCGTTTACATCTACAGGCTCTGCGTGAGGAAACTGTTTTACCTCTTGCTGCTCTCTATTTTATTGAAAAAAAAAGTGACAGAATTTATGTGGCTGGAAACTTACCTATTAACAATAAGCTTGAATACGCGAATAAACTAAGAAAGAAATCCCTTTTTCTGACAAGCAGTGAACCGTTCAGAATCGGGTGAATACGCCAGAAAGGACAGACCCATCCGAAATCTGACGTAAACGTTTCGAAATCGGACGGAACCGTCCGAAATCCGACGTAATCGGATCCCGTCCAAAATAAAACGGATCTCGTCCGGAATCAGACGGAACCATCTCACCGAAAAGTCAGAAATAAGATGGAACCGACTCGAAACGTTAGTCCCACAGCGTATAAACTAGTTTGGACTAGAGGGAGCCAACTATTGTATAAGCACCGAACTCTGGCGACTTCATTTTTTGTTGCATAACTCTGGTAGCACTGTCACTGTCATTTATCTGAT